AACTTTTTCCAAGATTTGATGACCCTCCCTTCCCCATGTATACTTACCTACAGTTGTGGACTCAATGTGTTCCACCTGTTCTATACTTATTTGGACAGACCTCATTTATGTCATGTACACGTCTCCAGTCTCAGAAAAACGTCATAGCATGAGGCCCTCCCCTTTGCTTAATGTCTCAGATCTGGAAATTAGCATGTATCATATAAAATGTGTAAATTGTTTTTAGACTCTAGCCTTTCGATCTGTTTTACTGTTATTATTACATGTAGTTGTTTTATCGTTACCATTTTGTTTGTTCAGGAAATATCACGGCCAGCTTCTGGTTTCCATCAGAAAGCAGAAATCTCACAGGAAACTCCCAGTATCCATCACACTATAGCAAGCTCATTAGAAACACAGGTATATGTAATGTGCCATGAAGATTGCATTGAAATTACCAAACCAGACTCGCCCCAATCCAGGTGATAACTTGTGGTTGAAATTATACAGCTCACAAATAATTCCTGAAGAACCCCTAACAGTGTCTCAGAGTGTAAATTATACAGGGCTCAAGGGCCATGATATATGTGCATAGCTATGCAGTCTCCTTTTTCATGTATATATGAAAAGGGTTTGTCGTCAAGTTTGATGCACACCTCCCCCCCTCTTGAGCAGACAGTCAACTCTCTATAATACGAGTTCATATAAGACAAGATTTGGTTATAAAGATCAGCTTACATGTATTTCGCCAGTCCAAAACAAAGTGTGTGAATTCCTTTGAGAAAAAAATCGTTCATGTTCTTTGGTAATACAAGATCTGATCTGGTTGAGTGCAGATGTATTGTTATTTTTGTTTTCTGCATAAGCGTTTGGAAAACAAGTCATCAATTGATGGAAACAAGTGTCGAATGGGAACAAGAGTAGAATGGGAACATTTCTTATGGAGTAAATAATCAATATTTAGTATTTATATTGTTGTTTTGCTCAGGAGTCAGTGCAGCCAACATCCAGTATCCATCAGACAGCCAATGACAGTTCATCAGAAAATCAGAGAATCCATGACAGTGGCGATGACTCATTGGGTGCACAGGTAAGATAATGAAGATTTGAGTGACCCCCTACCCTTCTCATGGCCAATTCAACAAAGAAAATTAACTGGTTCCTAATCCCTTTTATTGAGCCACTTTCTTGTTTTTTTTTTGGGGGGGGGGTTGGAGGAGTATTTGAACCCGTTAAAGTGTATATTGACCTGCAATTGGGGACTCTCTCTTTTTCTAGTTCACACGTTTTTGGCCTTCCTCAAGTGTATATTCCTGCAGTTGGACATTTACCTGCAATTAGGACTTTATTTTACTTCTTTTGTGCTTGACCCTACCTAAGTGTACTTTTACCTTCAACTTGAGACTCTATAATTTTTTCCGTCTTGAGTTCAAACTTGTTTTACCGTACCCAACTGTATATGTACCTGTAACTGGGGTGATCTACTTTCCTTTGTTTAATACACTTTTGGGCCAATTGAAGATAAAGTTTTACTTGCAATTAGGGACCCTCTATTTTTTGCCCTTTGTTTATGTGTTTGGATATACCTGTGTCTACATATTTGTTGATTGGAAACATGGAAATTGGGACCCATTTTTACTGTGTTGTTAGATATCTGTCATTTCAGGAAAAACCTCATAGCATTAGGTAAACATTTTAATTTCTCATCCTTGTGACCCCCCTTGGCCCAGTTTCTCTTATTGGTAAATGATTCTGTATTTTATAAAAAGTGTAAATTGTTGCAGACTTATGAATCTTGCCAATGGATCACTTTAGTGTTTGTCCAATTGGTCACAACTCCACAGTTTAACACACTATTTTTAAAATGTTCCACTTTGGGATTCGAGGAATGGTTTCTTTGGAACGAACCAGATATTCCTTTCTCCATTGGAGGTAACCCTTGATCAAACTGTTATGCATGAGGAACTGGATTCAAACTGTTAATTTCATGCTTTTTGTTCCTCCTGTAGTTTTCAAAGATGAGGACAGTTAGTGATTCTGCTTCTGAAAACCCTCTGACTTCAGATGACGAAGATAACTCTGATACATCCTACAAACCATCAGAAGATGAGGAATCCAGTGGATTTGTCCCTGAATCTTCAGATGAGGAGCTTTCATGCCCAGCAAGCCCCATTCTAATTCCCAGAGGGAATTACCCTCCCCCTGCTCAAGGTGACCATGAATTGGAAGATGCTGGGCACAGCAGTACTTATAAATTGAGGGCAGATACCATGTCAGAACCAACTTCAAGTTCACATCAGGCTTACAAAACAACATCAAGTGCTGATAACTCACACATCCAGGTGCTGACCACTTCCAATCAAGATGGTCGTGTCTATGATAAACCTCAATATTGTCCATTTTGTTGTCTGCCACAGAAAAAACTACCTCGTCATTTAAAAACACCCCAGCATAAAGATGAAGCTGCCGTCCAGGAATGGCAAGAAACAGTGGGAAAAAAGCAAAAGGAAATACAACTCACGCTTCTGCGTAACTATGGGAACTTTTTGCACAATAGTTCGGTGTTGCAAGAAGGAAAAGGCACTCTGATTGTTGTATATCGCCCCACTCATGAAGTCAACCCCTATGATTACCTCCCGTGCCAAGAATGTTATGGCTACTATGCAAAGAGCGACCTATGGAAGCACAGGTGCTGCAAGAAAAGTTCCGAAGAATCTGATACTAGCCAGTCAGACACAAGCAGAAAGAAGAAGCGATATGGATTGGTTAAAGCCAGTAGAATGATGCTTCCAGTAGCACCAGGTGTGTCTAAGCGGACTCATGAGATCATGAGCAAAATGAAGAGCGACAGTATCGCACGTGTGGCCAGATCAGACCCTCTGATAAGAAAATTTGCAGAAAAACTAACAATGAAACATGGCCATTGCAGGGATCAAGAAGGCTACATCAGACAGCGAATCAGGGAACTCTCTAGATTAATTCTTGAGTACAGAGTACTTACTGGTGAAAAGAATGCAGAGTTGACTGATCTCATCTACCCCCCGAAATTTGAGAGTGTGACACATGCCACAAGAATAGCAGCTGGATTTAATGAAGATACAAACTTATATACAACGCCAAGCCTTGCTCTAAAGATTGGTCACAGCCTCAAAATCTGCACTGATATTCTGAAGGGAGAAGCACTGATTTCAGGGGATGAATTCACCCAGAAAAGGTGTAAAGGATTCCTGTCATTGTACGATCTCAACTGGGAAGAAAAAGTGAGTCATCATGCATTGCGAAGCCTAAATGAGACAAAGCGGAACAACCCAAAGCTACTTCCCCTGACCCAAGATGTTGTGAAGCTGTCAAAATACCTCAAGGAGCAAGTCAAAGCATCACAAGAAGAGTTAGAGAGAGCAAATGGTCCAGAAATATCAAAAGCCTGGAGGAAGCTTGCTGAGGCTCTGCTGGCTCAAGTCGTAGTCTTCAATCGCAAGCGTCCAGGGGAAGTTTCTAAAATGTCCCTTGAAGACTATTGCAAATGCTCTAGTGGGGAAGTGTGCATTTTGGATGGTGCTCTGTCAGAATTCGAAAAAGCCTTGTGCCGGGTGTTGTGGAGAGTAGAAATCATCGGGAAGCGCTCCAGAACAGTTGCTGTTCTGCTGACAGCAGACATGAAGAAGGCAATGGACACTTTAACAGCCAAACGATCTAGTGCACATATCAGTGAAGACAATGTGTACTTGTTTGCTCTGTCTGGGGAGGGACACATAAGAGCATGTGATTGTCTTCGTGAATCTTCTGTTCAGTGTGGAGCAGAACATCCCGAGTATCTGAGAGCAACACGCCTGAGAAAGCAAATAGCCACAGTGTCCCAGATCATGAATCTGAAAGAGAATGAGTTAGATGTATTGGCCAACTTCTTAGGTCACGATATTCGGACCCATCGGCAGTACTACAGATTACCAAATTCAACACTTCAGGTAGCAAAAGTCTCCAAAGTTCTCATGAAAATGGAAAGAGGGGATATGAAGGGCTTGGCTGGAAAGAGCCTTGCTGATGTGGATATCCACCCAAGTGAAGGTGTGGTGCTATGCTGTTTTTTAGTTTATTAATAAGGATCCATCCGTGTATACAGTATGGATGTTTTTCATGTTACACAATTTTGTTTCAGTACTGTAATTTTTGTAAATTTGAGAGAAAAACTAACTCAAACGGGATTCTTTTGTTTAAAAAACTATAAATGTACATGTACCTTTTATTAGGGTTGGGAGCCTTTGAAAAACAGCCCAAATTGAAAAAAAAATATTTTGTCCTTGCATAATTCAAATTCATCTTGGAAAATTGATTCCTGATTTTTTTTTTGAAATGTTAATAGTCTAGTATACCCTCCTCCATTTATAATGACTTATACTGGCTTTTTTTAACCCATGTTGTATTGCAGTTAAAATGTCATACAAGACCATCAAGACCTGCCTTTGCAAAATATTTCACTCAAATGAGCAAATATCATGACTCTGATGTACATGTAGGCCACTGTAAGAACATGTTATATAATCATTCACTGAGACAGTAAAATGCAAACATATTGACAGAAATACCAATAATTAATTTCCAGGTGGTCTTAAACTTTTGCAAATGACTACATAATTTTCCAACCACTGAATGAGCTGTTCTGAATGTAAATTATCCAGTATGTTATTCACAAAAGCCATTAGACTATAATCTCATTTAGGCATACTTACTGCTATGATGCTTTGACAGATTCCTTGAAAGCATCTTAATTCTTGAACACAGATATTATAAGACATCTTTCTCAAAACCTATTTTTTGCCTAAGATTTTATGTCTTTTTAATTTCCACTTTTCTATATATCAGAGTACATCACTGATGCAGAATCTGATGAGTCTGACTCTGAAGCTGAAGATAAAGTTCCAGATGTGTTGCCTCCCAAGCCGAAAGATGGAAAAGGTAAAACAAAATTTTTTTATTAGATTGAGAGTTGTAATCGAAGTTTAAATTGTTCCATCGTAAGAAGTGTTTTTGTTCACCCACAAAATGAAGTTTTGCACAAGGTTTGCATATTTATTGGCCATTGGACTCACTGCTTTTTTAATCTTGAATACATGCATATGGTTGGTTTTCCTTGAGTGTTCACTGCAGGGTTTGTTGGAGCTGGGGGGTCTACATTCCCTTGGTTCTTTTTGTCACCATTAATTCTATTTGTTTTTTATTATACAGTCCATTATTACATTGTGATACATCATACAATTTTTTTTTAATAACTCCATGTGTGTAGTTTTTTAATAGATTTCCTCAATGGTGCATGTGTATAAGAATGTTTTTAGTTCATGTGCTGTATGTTTTAATGTAACTTAATTCAGTTGTGTATTATTCTTGACTATTTTAATATTGTTGCATGGCCCATTGAAACTCAGCTGTTTTTTTAGATGAAATGGCTACCATCTGTAAATAAATATATTATTACTGCAAAAAACACCCCTTCCGTAAAAAAAGTTGTTTACAATGGCTGGGCTGAAGCTTAGAGTCTTTTATTAATTGCTCTATTCTTTTTGAATCACTAGAAGCACGTCTTCTTGCTGGGTCCTTGGATTACTTGAATTAACTCATTAATAGTCAGACATCTCTGTGGTATCCAATGGCATTTTCAGCGTGTAATTATGACAGAACTGTTGTGAAATCACGTGCCCATATTGTTGTGGTTAAGGATTCTACCTCAGAGGAAAAAAAATTGGGTTGACTTTTTGCTCCTGTTAGAGGGTACATGTGCATGTATACCACCACTTGCGTTTTGGCCTTCAATGGCTTTTCCCACTTGTTTTATTCATAAATACCAGAGATAGTTTCCCATTCAACAATGCACAACATGACTATGTGTTAATATTTGATAACACGTTTAAAAACGCACTGGCGCGTGGATACATGACAACTTAATCCATTCCTATCCGGTTGTGACGTTACTTCAGCTAAAACTATACCCACTGCAAATAGAGTTACATGGAACCATGGAACCGGAATAATGCAGAACTTTAATGTTCATCTACTGAACATGAGTTGAGCGTCCGCATGTATGATGAAGTCATGAACTGCTCAAGAGAAGGTGTTCCATGGCATGCAAAACTGGCAATATGTGTGCGTAATCCATTGAAAGGGTCTCTTTTTGGCTGCTTGGAAAGGGGTGTTT